CTCTCTCTCTCTCTCTCACACACACACACACACACACACACACCACACTGTGTGTAATTTAATATACCACACTGGTATTTTCAGAATGCGGAAATTGAAACGTGTTTACCAAAGTAACAAACTCCTCAAACTCCGCCTAGTTTGTCTTTGCTGTGTGATTGGACGAACTGTTTTAATCCCGCCCCTTCATCCACCAATCCCAGTTCAGACGGCCAAGCCACCAATCCAACATCACGGCGAGTGCTTCTCTCATGAATATTAATTTTATGATGCTGACGCTGCTTTGAACGTTTCCTGAAGCGTCAGCCCAGTAGCCTAATTAATATTCATGAGGCACACGCCTCGCTCATTCGTCCGCTGCCGAACAGTCCACGTTCTTATTGGGCGAAAGACAAGCTCAGCTCATGAATATGCATGAGGCGTGCTATGAGCTGTCTGAAGTTAAAAACACTGTCCGTGTTATTGCTCCCTCTCTGCAACGTGCACTGCCAATGCAAATTATATTTTTGTAGACCTTTAATAATCAAAGAAGACATTTTTGACGCATCTTCTTATTTTCCTCAAGGACTGTTTACATTACCAGCAACCTTACAGCTAGACTTTAAGTGAAAGCGAGCCTTCAGTTTAAGGTGAGGCTAAGCTCAATGCATTTAGAACTAAAACGTAAATTACTACGGTCAGAAGACCTCTACTGATCAAACACGGTGCATTTGTGTTGGTTATGTAAAGCACGTGATTTTGCACGTTTGTTTTTAATGAGTTTACTACATGTTTCCGTGATCTGCAGGCTTAGGAGGACGGTAAACAAGCGAGTAATGGCGACTGAGATTGAAGCATGGACCACTGGCCCTCAAAACGATGGTACGAACATTAAACTGGTTGTCCTAAAAAATGCATGAATGCATTCAGCTTGCATTTAGATTATGCATGCACAGTTGGTCTTTTACCGTGTCGCTTTTGCAGCCTTTAGTTGCTGTCGCGTTGCACCATGTGCTCTGGCAGAAAGGCTTGTTTATTGCATAAACTCGTATAAAATGAGCTGTGCATTAAAACCAGGATGTTTAATTGAGCTCATAAAGACACGGTGACTCTTTAAAGCAAAGCTTTTTATTGTTTCGTAGTAGCTTATTTTTTTCTTAGATTTTACACACATTAACTCTTCGTTCGTAATGTGAGCTCTACAGCTTGGAGCCAAAAGACAGGAGCTAACGTGCTTAGTGCTGCAAAATTGGTTTATGAGCAACGCAATATTCAATGACTGGTCGTGTCATTAAATGTATTTATTTTCTAATCGCATGTTTTTATTTGTGATCTAGCATACGATAAAATCATTAAGCGTCTTTGTTGCGGAACTATATTTAACACTACGCCCCCTTTCTGAGATACCCGGATGTTAGTTTGTTTTTCTTCTTGCCACCGTGAGTTTAAGGAGTGTTTTGTAGACGTTCCTCGTGATTTTCTTTCAGAAATGCATGAGTGCAGAGGTCCAGATCAGTGCTATACCCCCAAACACACACACACACACACACACACACACACACACACAAATACACATACACACACAAGCACAGATGCATGAACAATGCACTTGGCAGGTTAGTTCAATTCTAATGTATCAATGTATTCTTAGAAATGTTTCCTCTTAAAATTAAAGAAAAGATCCTAGTAAAGAAGAAAATAATTCAGAAAGCATCTTAACCCTTAAAAGAGCTCTTAAGGTCCAAAATTGTTAGGAGTACGGACGAGGACTTTTAAGAGGCTTAAGAGTTTCTTTAGCAGTGGAGAAAATGGACGAAACATGAAGAGGGAGAAGAAATGTGTTGCACACAATGCATGACAGTGAGTTAACAAGATGCTACACATTAGATCGTGCAGGGATTATGTTTGTGACCGATCTTATTAGAGACACGCTAACATCTCCGGCACCGTACAGAAATGCCATAGCGCCAGAAATGGAAGTAAATCAGTACATTAACATATTTGGCAACTGGAAAAATGCAACTA